CGAGAACATGCGTTGAGTAACCATTATCCAAACCTAGACATGACATATGGCTTGTAATGTATGAAATACTTAAGGGTGTGTGCAAATGTTTCTCTCCCTTAGGACCATAACATCGCAAACGAGGGGCAATTGTTTATACTAGATGTAGCGCTCTAGGCCCAAAGTAATGAAGTGGCAAAGCCCAATTTAGAATCAACCAAAATAGAGGCCTAATATATAAATAGTCCTACTGAGGATAAGTGGAACATAGCATTTAAGGAGATTAGCGACCCAACCTTACCCAATTCTTGCTTTCCAAGTAATGCGACACACTAACCCTTATCAATCCCTATGACATAAGACACCCTCAATATTTAAGACAGCATGGAGCATTACCTATTCATTTTGATGCTATAATTCAACTTCAAAGGAGCGCGTTGTCTTCTTCTATAAATAAGCAATGAGCGCATAACTAAGGGGCTCTCTTGACACGCTACCAAACTCAACACACTTGCCTAGCACAATAGTACTCAGACAACTTACCCAACTTCATCCAAGTTTGCCCAGCGTGACTTACTTAGTTGTTACAGCTTAGGCTGCCTAGGAAATTCTGCTTTGCCTTCTCTTTGTCAAATGAACACCAATTGTATTTACTCACTAGTAATGTAATCAAAACTTGTGTGGCACCTGGTGTACCTTTAGTTTCTCATTTCGCTTTAGAACTTCAAAAATTGTGGTAAAGAACCTTGGAAATCCACATACTTGCCTAACCTAATATAAATCAATCAATATAATTTATATTTACTTTTTTAAAATTTTATTTATTTTATCAAAATTTTTATATTATTTATCTGATTATAGAATAAGTTCTTAAAATTGGAAGGAAAGGGAGTAGAAAATTAGGGGCCTGTTTGAAACTATGTTTATTTTCTTATTCTGAGAATTAGTATTTTGTAGAACATATTTTGAGAACGAAAAAAATGAAAATAGGTTTTTTTTTTCATCTTTCCTTGTTCTCCAGAGCAACAATTCTATAACACCTAAAAGATGTTTTCATTTTTTATTCTTCATAATAATATTTTATTTTTTTGTTCTCCAAAACACTTTTTAAAAATACATTACCAAACATATTTTTTTGTTCCATAGAACAGAAAACTATTCCCATAATAGGTTGCTAAACAAGCCCTAAATTTTAGGAGAAAATTAATAATTTTTAAATTTTTAACACAATTACTAATTGTTTTTTAGTCTTCGTAACAGATTTAAAATATAAACTTTTAATAAAATCATAAAATTCCTTTGAGGGGCAATAACAATTGAATTTATTGTTTAATTAGAAACTAATAATTTTTAAATAAAAAAGAAAAATTGTAACACAGTCGAAGAAAAAGTTAAACAAGTAAAAAAATATTGTTAGACTCTTTTCTCTATTTATTTGTTCTTTAAATGTTTCTATAGAGTAATTTTTTAGAACAATTTTACAAACAATTTTTTTGAATTATTATTCTGAAAAATATATCTAAAATGGTAAAGTGAATAGTGAAATATTGGTTTGCTTTATTTAAATAATGTCATTAATTAAAACATGATGTTCTCTATCTCTTTTCTAATTTTGTAGAACAAAAGACGACAACATATTAAAAAGATGTGCTGTCTTTTTTTTTTTTTAGTTTTTCATGACAGCCTCTAATTTTCTTTTGTTTTTCAGAACATATAACCAAAAACCCATTACCAATTTTTTTATTTGTTTAATAAATATAAAGCTAAAGTTAATAGGAGCTAGAGAGATAAAATATAAAAAAAGTATACAAAATGTTGGTCCATTGTGAAGTTTTTTTTTTATTGAATAAAGTATAAATGATGTGACACACCAAGAGCCAAGAGGATTTAAAAATCGCACTTCAATTTCATGTTACAAATATCATGAATGAACAATATGAATGAAATGATGAAAAACAAAATCTTTTTTCCGAAAACAATGTTTTTAAGAAAGAAAACAATTAATATATAAATAAGTGCATACCTGTAAATGAGTTACCATCTAGAGACAATGCTTTCAAAGATGTGCAGTTACTTATTGATCTTGGAATGCTTCCCTCTAATTGATTATATGAAACAAAGAAGGTTTGTAGTAAAGGGAGCTGATGGCACATTTTTTCAGACAAATTACCATTTAAATGATTGAAGTCAAAGGCAACCTCTATCAAAGAAGACATGTTCCAAATAAATGAAGGGACTTTGCCTATAAAAAAAAATGTTTGTGTGGGGTTAGTACACATAAGACTAGCAATTCCCCAAATTTGCACGCAATGATATAAATAATACATGAAAATTTGTTAATTAGAGGCTTAACATTGATATAAAAATAATACAATTTTTGTTGGAAAGCAATTTAAAGAGGATTCTTTCAATATCAATCACCAATTGGGCATTAAATTTTCTTTTAAAGATAAAGAAATGCTAAAAAGTGATTATGGAATTAATTTCAACTATCTAATATCAACAACCAAATTATTTATATTTTGCATTAAAGTTATCTAATATATACAAGGATATAAGTTTAACGATAAATTCATCATCAGCATGAAAAGTACAATAAAATTTTAGTTTTTATATAATGAATTAAAATACTTTCAATTACATATTCTGGAATTAAATATAGAATAAACATATTTTGGCAGATATCATTTTTCCAGCAACGTCTCGTTGGCAGCTAATATTAGAAGATTCCCATTCAAATTGTTTTACATAAAATCCATAATTCTTAGAGTAGAAATGCTAAAGAGAGACAATACAATTTCACCTGTTTCAATTTAAAACTAAAGAGAATAAAAATTACATTAAAATAAGCTAATAGTTAATTACAGAGTTTGATTGATCTTTAATACTAAATTGATCTTGAAAAGAAGAAAAATAAGATAATGATAGAATGAAACAAGAAACCTATATATGAAATTATACTTATTGATGGCCATTTTCTAGGAATATAAAAATAATAATCTAGCATTGACAAATAGATTAAACACACACACACATACATATGAGAATTGAATGTATCACAAAGATTACCACCGTGCCCTGCCCCAGCTTGAGTCTTTCTATCACAGAGAATGTATATTATAAAAATATTGCAATATTCATGTACGTGTATGAACATATCTTGGAATAGCAAAATTATGGCCCTTACACTATGTGTGTTCTAATGAGTTGGCAACTCTTTGCTTCGCTAGCACATTATATAAATATAGAAAATGAGTGGAATGATGAAAACGCAAATCTCATTTCAAATTTATTTCTATTGGAGAGATTAGGAATCAAATCCAACACCGATCCACCCAAATCCATAATTATATAGATAAGGGCATATCTGTAAACAAGATAGCGCCGAAATATAATTGTATCATTATTCATAATTCACTTTAGAATTAAATAATATAATCTAGAACAAAAAGCTTTTCATTAAATGTTATTTAATGAAATTAATGTATAATTTGGATTATCTAAAATAAAGTTGAATGTTCTGTATCTATGCCTTGTAAGGTTAATCACTCATTTTGGAAAACCCTTCAAGAAAGTTTAAATGGCAGAATAATATACATTTATTTTAAAGATAAAATCAAACCAATATACGAATGTACAATATGAATGAGACGATGAGAAAGAATCCTTTTTTAGACTTATTTTATTGGAGAAAAAGATTAGGACACAAGTGCATACCTGAAAATGAGTTGATGCCCAAATATAATCCTTTTAAAGATATACAGTTACTTATTGATTTTGGAATGCTTCCCTCTAAATAGTTATCTGTAACAGACAAGAATTCTAGCAAAGGGAGTTGATGACACATTCCTTCCGGCAAATTGCCATTTAAATAATTCCTTCTAAGATAAACCTCTCTCAAAGAAGACATGTTCCAAAGAAATGAAGGAATTTCACCTAAAAAAATACAAAATATTAATTTGTTTGATGGTTAAGACAAACAAGTTTATACTTATGGAATGAAAATATCTTCAATTGAAACTTTTGGAGACAATATAAATAATACACAAAATTTCCTTGAAAGCATAAAATTATGCAAGGGGTGCATTAACCCCAATTGTTTCTTGCTATTTATATTTTACATTAAACACTCAACAAATATAAGTGTCATAAAAAGAATAAAAAAAGATATAATAATAGAATTAAACATGGAAGCTTTATGAAATTTTATTAATTGACCACATGAAATCTTCTAAGAGTTCAAAGAATACAATAATGTAACTTTAGTAGATGCAAAAAAACATAAATATTTTTATGAGATATTTGGATATATCATCAAAATTACTTTGCCACAAATACTCTTCCTGTGTAGAGAGTGTCACGAGATTATATATTAAACATATAACGCATTCACATTTTTTATCACATCATTTTAAGACTTCCTTTGAGAAATAAGGCTAACATACCCTAAATGATAATATATAAGTGCAATTAATTTGAAAAAAAAAACCACGACCTATAAATATTGGAAAGACTAATAATCATAAAATAAATTACTTGTCAGTTTGCCATGTATTGTGAGCGTTTTTTATGTGTGATTCATTGAGATATATGGATGGATTCTCTGTATTAAAAAAAATAAGAAGATTTCCTTGAAAAGACAATGTGCAGGGAAAAATGAAAAATGAAAGGTAGTATATATATTTATATAAAAAGATCGAAACCTTACTTGTCATTTCTATCAAATTAAGATAATCTTTATTATAAAATATTTTTAAATACAATTCTTTTAAATTTGTGCAGTTACTTATATTGCATTGGGATGTTTTTCGCAAATTAATAAAAATATCTATTTGGAGATCATTTTTACATAAATAGTGGTCCCACCATTATGTGACCAAACATACAAATGCACAAACACACACCCGCCCCCATCACAAACATACCAAACATATTTTAAAATTATTTTTATTTGTGAGATTAAAATAAACAAATAAAATCACACACATGGTCTAAAAAAATCATATAATTTAAACTCTTACCTTGCAAATTGTTATTGTCAAGACACAAGAATTGGAGGCTTGTCAAATTTCCAATATCACTTGGAATGATTCCTTGTTTGAACATATTATCACCTAATTGTAACTCTACCAATTCCTTGCATTGATGCCAAACGGAAGGTATTTTTCCAGACAAATCATTTCCATTGACATAGAATATTTCAAGTTTTGGAAGTCCAAAACACACATTTGTTGGGAGACTCCCAGATAAATTATTTATTGCAAGATCAACTTCTTGTAGCAGTGATATGTTAAATAATGAGATTGGTATAGAACCAGCAAGTTGATTATCTCCAAGATATATTATCTGTAGTCGTGGAAGATCACCAATCTCATTTGGTATGCCTCCTTGAAATATCAAGAAGAGAAATATTATGTCAATGTGTATCATGAGCAGTAACAATATGGAAGAACTTTTTAAAGTATGCATTTTTTATGCTTGTTTAAAGCATGAGTGCTTTCTCAATCTCGTGTTTCATGTGTTCTACATTAAAGACGATATATAGGGGTAGTTATATGCATATTTATTGACATCAGATTCAAAAGCAAAAATTATACTTAAGGATAAGATCCATAGGAAATAAAGCTCACAATGTTAGCAAATATTCTATTTGAATACATTTTCATAAAGAAAAAAATATTCTATTTGCTTCAGTGGCATGTTGCACGTGATTTATTGAAAATAAAATGATTTCAAAACCGAAAAACAAAAACTGAATAAAAAGAACACAAAATACCAAAAAATATAAATTAGTTTAGACAAATTAACTGAGATCCTTCCACGTGATCCTTGAGGGAATATATCAAGCTAACCAAATTGAGAAGTTTATAGCAAAAATAAATATAGATATAAAAATAATCCAAAGCATACCTGACAAAGTGTTATAAGACAAATGTAATAACTCAAGTGAAGATAAGTTGGTAATTGTTTGAGGAATGATTCCTGAAAGTTTGTTTCTCGAAAGTCGTAAAATTTTCAAACGCTCAAGTCTTCCTACCTCAATAGGAATGGTTCCTTCAATTAAATTAGAATTCCAATCTAATGTCTCCAACCTTGATAGATTGAATAGAGATAGTGGAATAAATCCATCAAAGCTGTTATTTTGAAGATTTAAGTGCTCTAGTGTAGATAAATCTCCTATCCATATTGGAACTCGTCCTTGAAAGTCATTGTAGCTCAAGTTCAATAGTTTCAATCTTCGCAGTTGAACTAACTCTGTTGGTATTTGACCATAAAAATTGTTGCTACTGAGATCAAGTTCAACAAGAAATGAGAGATTTCCCAGTTGTGGAGATATGGTGCCTTTAAGATCTGTGCCACCAAGATTCAAGGAACGGACCCTTCCATGGCGAGTATTGCAAGTGACACCAACCCAATTGCATGGGGAAGAAGAGAGAGACCAAGTAGATAAGGAATCATATGGATCTAAAGTGATAAAAGATTTAAGGCCAAGAAGTGCAGATTTATCTGTAGTGATGTTTGTATCAATCAAAGCTAAGGAGGATATGAAGCAATGGAGTGAGAAGATCAGGAAAACAAAGGAAGGAGGTTTTCCCATGTTTAGCATATCAGACTTGTCAAAATCGCAAGTTATGTATCTAGGAATTGTACATATATCATTTTATACTCCAGCAATTCCAAATCAAGTCAAGGCGTGCAAGCACAATGACAAATAGAAAATCAAAAGGACGCCTCTTTCATGATTGACAAGATTAAGCAATTCAACTAAAATAATAATTATAATTAGTGTGTTTGGTAAATTATATCTGTTTTTTATATTTAAAGATATTACTTTTACCATCTCACATTTGATTTTACCACATCAATATCACAGCTATCTTGAATACTTTTTGTTTCAAGCATGAAGTACTTTAACCTTCTCAGTTTTGACATGTAATTTTCTTGATAAGGCCTTTTAACATTTTCAATTGATGAATATGTAATTCCCCTCCTATTTCTACGGGGATGAGTGTTTTTAATAGAACCCAAGTAATTTTATTTTAAATAAAATAGCATGCAGTGAATGGGTTCCATATTAATCAATCAATCAAAATAAAAAATATAAGGAGAGAGGGAGGAAAAAGTTTAAGCCAATACAAACCTGAATATCGTTTCCTATAGAAATCTCATACTATGCAGAATTTTTATTTTTTGACTTGTGTTTGTTTCAAGTTAATTTTAATTCTCTACTTTTCTATTTATAGCTTATATATTTTAATGAATATACAATAAAATATATAAATTGTATAGAAAGGTTATTTGCAAAAAACACATGGTAATCTTAATTTTAAATTTAAAGTAACAGTCAATCTCTCTACAAAAGAGAAATTCAGTAGGTGACCATAAATTCCGCATTATTATTTGATTTGACGGTATGAAAATGTGGCGTAGAAAAACTGGAAAGAAAAGAGACATATAATAATAACCTTATTAATCTTAACATTGTGTTGTCTCTACCAATGGAACCCAAAATCTGTTTCACTTTCAAAATTAAATGGTCAGTCTACGAGGGACCGTATGTTAAATTATCATTTCAATATTTTAATTTGCAGTCAGTCAAAAAAATTTGTGTTTCTATATTTAACGATTTTGAGATATTCATAAGCATTTCATATGAAAGTCATAATCAACAACCCATTTGTCATGAAGTGCTTGACTCTCAAAGTCACGCTTCCTTTCACACAAAAATTATATTGAAGGATCATAAAAAATTAAAACGCAATTTGCAAATTTGATTTATAAATTTTAATTATCAATAATAATTAAAGAAGACGTGTTGACAATGTGAATAATCTGATTTTAGTTCAAAGCTGAATATTGGTCACTGTCACAATGTAAAAGATAAAGGAAAAACTAATCTGATGTATATAACCAAGTGTTTAATTAACATGATATTACGTTTACATCTCTAAAATACTTGTTACTACAGCGCGCGCGCGCACAATCTATAATATTTAATATGTTTTATCTCAAAAATACTCTTAAAAATATGCTCCTAATTAATGAAAAATTTAAAAGAGACTGAAAAAGATATTAGTATTTAATGAAAAATACTTATAAAATTTGATGTAACTTTAAAAATAGCAATTAATTTGTTATGACGCTGAGCAGTAAATTTTTTAATAAAAATTATTTTTTTTGTGGGGTCATCATACCCAGCTTTGTAAAGTCTTTCGTATTAATTGACTTGTTAAACGACTTGTGCGTGTTAAAAAAGGGAAAATTTACAATTAGGATTTTTTGTTAGAGACATTCAAATAATTGGTCATCAAAAATATATTTGCTGTTGACAAAAATGGCGTAGATATTAAATTATGATTACATATAATCAAATTCTTTTCTAGGTTATAATGCCGGTCACTTTTTAAAGTCTTCCAATATGGACTTGTGATTCACGTCTGAGAGAAAAATGTAAACGAACACTGTTAATGTCTTATTTGACACAATCCAGCTTCAAAAAGTCTTCCATCATCAATAACATATAATCAGATTTTTTATAACCATAATCCAACCTTTTTAAGTCTTCCACACTATTGACTAAGTGTTGTCATGTCTATCTTTAACAACCAACATACACATATAATTATATAGTAATTTGCAAGAAAATTACATCCTACAACCATATTAAGACCTTTTTAATATTGGAGAAATGGGAGTGCACAGTAAAAATAGCTTTCTTGATTCTTGTAGAAATCCTTGCAGATGTGTTCCTGCATGGTTCTTTGGCAGCATTTATTGACAGATGGAAAAGAAGCGATACTCCTAATTTTACCATCTCTGCATCCTCTTGACTACAAAAATACTACTCTTATTTGTAAGTTTCTTTCAGAATTTTCATCAAAATTAAGGAAAATTTTAAATCTCATTAATAATTCTGTCTAAACATTTAACAAGTTTCCAACTTCAATACTCCTATTAGATATACATACTTTAATAATAAAATACTTTAGCATTTAAAAACCTTCCCAAAATTTAATAAATTCATTAGCAAAGGGTGATGTTGCTTTATTTTGATACTTCCTAGGTAATATTGCTTTTTCAAAAAGGTAATGATACTCGGTGCTTCTTTCAAAAAATTTTAAGACATTTTTCCCTTTTAATCCAAAAAGACTTAATTTTTCTCAAAACATACTTTAAATAATAATATTGACGCAAATGAAATATTTTATAGTTAAACAATTGTATTGGATGTATTATATACATCAATATTTATTTATAAGTGTATGGCGTATTTGACTTGTGAGTAGACTTCACAGTCTTCTCATTTCATTTCACATGAATCAGTTGATAATTATCTCAAATTCGTTCAAGATAAAGTACAATTTTCAATTTTACTGACCACAAATCAAAATAATGCAGTGATATCAACATGTGATCACTCATCTATGTGATAACATAAATACAAAAGCAAAGACAAGTAAGAAGCAGAAAGCTATACCATTTTCTAAGGGAAATACAGAATCGAGAGAATAAATTTATGAACACTAGCTCAAAAGAACTTTTATTTATTTTAATTAAACCCTAACAAATTTAATCCATTAACAAGTCATCAAAGTGATCATATAGATATTTCATAATCGGATGGTGAGTGATTGTGGTTGTATCATCATTATTGCGTTGAAAAATCAAACATAAAATAATAAAAATGATAAGATAGATTTTTTTTACTTTAAATGAAAATTTATTATTAAAATTTTGAGATAATTAAATGATTGATTTCTCTAAGAAAAATATATCAACCAACGTAAAAATTGCATATATTTTACTTGATTTAACTCATCATGGGAACATGGTCTGACCCATAAGAAAACATTTAATAAGAACACAAATATGACCAAATTTTCATTATCACTTCACAGTATCTTTTCATTTACAGTCAAGTTTGGTAAGCTACAGAGATCCCCAAAAGAATGTTAGCGAGAAGACCAAAAAGCCACAAATAAATGAGATCTTAGGAATCACAATCAATGTTTCAGAACTAGAACAGGAATTGAACTAGTCAAGATACACTTCACTCAACCATGGTTGGACCTACATGAATCAAAATAATTTTTAATAAAAAAACACAGCAGAAACAAAATAACTTCAACAATATTTATCCAAATATTGTCAGATATGCTACTTGTCCTAAGATGTCCAGTAATATTTGTCCATATCAGTCTCATGCATGCTAAATTAAACTAACAAAATCTCATACTTGCCCAACTCAAAATACTATTTATTGTCTATTACAAATTACGAAAATCATCGAGTATATATGCCAAATAAATTGTCTAACTAAGCTAGTACAAATTTTCTTAATTTATTTGAGCCACTAATTAATCATATATATAATACTAAAAATTAACCAAAAGATAAATAAAAACACAAAATAACATTGTTTTGGTATATTGAAATTAAAAAAATCAAAATGAAGCACCATATTTTACAATAAACATCAAATTAAGGAAGCAATGCCGTAATTGATATTTTCTTTTCAAAAACTTTAAAGGAAAGATGAGTCAAAATTAAAAATATTGCATAATAATCTTAATTTTAAATTTAAAGTAACACTCACTTAATCCCTCTACAAAAGAGAAATTCAGTAGGTGACCATAAATTCAACCTTACATTATTTGATTTGATGGTATGAAAATGTTGCGTAGAAAAAGTGAAAAGAAAAAAGAAAATTAATATGTTCCACCATTAATATGTTCCAATAATTTCAAGAATATCTTCAAAGAATTTAAGGAATTTATTGAACTTCTAAATTTATTAATCAAATTTAGGAATTTCTAATAATTCATATAATCTTATTAATTTTAACACAACAGTGTTCTCTCTACCAATGGAATCCAAAATCAAGTTTCAAGTGTTTCATTTCAAAATTGAAAGGTCAGTCAATGAGGGACCCTATTTTCATTATCATTTCAATATTTTAATTTGCGGTCAGTCAAAAAGAAATTTGTGTTTTTTTATTGAACGATTTTGAAATATTTATAAGTTGTTTGGTATGGAATGAAGTGCGACTTTGAGGTCTACCCTCAAGTCAAGTAAGTCTCATATCTATAAACAAAGGCTAATATGCCAATGCAACCAGTAAAAGAAGTTGATGTAATGGAGGAAAAAACAATCCATTTGACAAGAAACAACTTATGAATGATTGAAAAAAAAAAAAAGAGCAACTTCATTTACCTAGCGAGAAAAAGTTTATAGCCATTATCCAACCTTTTCAAGTCTTCCACTATGGACTTGTTGTTGTCATGTCTATCCATAACAACCTGCAAACACATATAATTATATAGTAATTTGCAGGAAAATTACGTCTGCCAACCATATTTTTCTAAAAAAAAAAAATTAATCGATCCTCAATCACACGATAAGACCTTTTATGGATGGGAAATGGGAGGGCTCAGTTGGGGGAAAAAAGGATTTCTTGATTCTTGTAGAAATCCTTGCGGATGTAGTCTTGCATTGTTTTTTTGCAGCATTTATTGACATCGAAGACGAGTAAGAAACAGAAAGCTGCACACCATTTTCAAAGGGAAATGCAAAATCCAGGGAATAAATTTATGAATA